GTGTTGAGGGGTGATGGATAACACTTATGTTAAAGGGACTGTAGTAATGCATCAACCGATTCGAAACTTCAACATTCTTCTCTCCTTTATCCCCCCCCCCCTCGCTGGCTGGGCAACCCAGATGCATTTGACTGTCAGGGTAGGGAATTTGAACTGGGTGGGGTAAGGTGTTATTTCTTTCCAGCGGAACACACATGTTTTATTTTTTAATATGGAGATGTTTAAAGGTAAAAAGTTCACTTTCGCAAGCAGATGTCTCGGAAGAAAATTTCTAAAACGAAGTCACAGTTGCTGGGGGGATTTGAACACACCAATCCTCAAAAGTTCAGATGCCTGGTAGGTGGATGTTGATGCTTAAAATTGATGAATGCATAATTAACCAGTCAATGATGCCTCCACTCATAAAACAGGCATGTCTCTTTTAATCGCTAAAAAAACGAATTTTGTAACATTGATTATTTGTATATGTGCGTTTGCTACGTATACCACTTGTTTAATACAACAGAATTTCAAATTTACTTCAGAAAACACTGCAATGTGTTGGCATATTTCAATCCAAGTTGGTGCGTTTATGGCATTAGAACGGCCAATAGTTTGGAACAGGGTCTCACCTGCAAATGAAAACGGACAACTTCAAAAAATTGACAAGAAGTTGCCAGTTTTACCTTCCCTAGTAACAAATTATTGAAAACTAAGATCAAAATTACAGTAGCTGAAGGTATTGTTTCCTTACTCTACATTGCATCACTGTTAGACCATGCAAAGTAAAACTGAAAAAATTCATCCATAAATTTGTGATAATTTGATCACCAAATTACTGTGTTATAACCTCTGTGCTTACCCTTTGAACCCTAAACTTCAAAGACCTCTCTTAAGAGAAGCAGAAGTTTCAGAATACCCTTAATCATTGGGTGAGGAATTCCAAATTTTGGGTTCTTCAAAAAATACAGAATAATATTTAACATTGGTTTGACATTGATGAGATTAGCGATCAGTGCCTCGTCTGGTGTTATGCAAGTGCATGAGGTTATTGGTGACAAACAGATTAAGAAATGACAGCGGAATTAAGCGGTAATGATAGGGGACATAGATGACACTTTACAAAAATAATTAATCTTAATGATATCCGAGATGTTTAATTTAAAAAATAATACAATAATTACTTAATAGATCCTTCTTTTAAAAACTGTAGAACTGCAAGCTTAAAATCAACAGGAACAATCCAGATAAAAAAAAAATAACAAAAAAACTAATTAAAATGGCATCATATGTAGCATCAAAATAAAACTTGTTTATTAGTGTAGGAAGATTTGGTGCTGGATGGTGTGGTGGTGTTGAACTAGTTTGTGTATGGTGTCGTGGCCCAATTGGATGGCGTGGTGCTTGTGGACAGTGTTGTGGCCCAAGTGGATGGTGTGGTGCTTGTGTACAACATCGTGAACCAAGTGCATGGAGTGGTGCTTGTGCAGTGTCGTGGTCCTTGTGAACCGTGTGGTGCTTGTGTATGACGTTGTCGCCCAATTGGACGTTGTGGTGCTTGTGTACAACATCATGCCCAATTAGACGGTGTGTTGCTAGTGCGCAGTGTCGTGGCCCAAGTGGATGGTGTGAACTGCTTGTGTACGGTATCCTGGCCCATCAGGACGGTGTAGTGCTTGTGGTTAGGTCAGGTTAAAAAATTCCATTTATATGTCGAGAGCTGATCACGCATTGACAGATGACGGTATGCGTCAATTTACATCAAGAATACACCGTTGCCAAAATTTTTAACCCGAATTTGCCGAAGTACATCGACGAAACTTCCACAAGTTTGTAAATCGGCTCCAAATTGTAATCTACATCCTCTTTTTTCATGTAGAAGTTTTGTTTTCCTTCTATCAGGTAACTCTGTGCAACTTGCCATTTAAGGAGCTTCTTCTTCAAGCGCGATTTCCTTTGTTCTACTCTAAACAATTTGATCTGATTAAATGTCCTTCTTGTCGCTTTCAATGAAAACTCTAGTGGGCAAGGCAATTCTTTCTTTTTTTCCTGGACGTTGAAGAAAATAATTGTCAAGAATGGAAGCCGAATTTCAGAGAGGAGCGGAAAGGAGGTTGCGTGACGAGTTAAGGTGAACAATTCACGCACCCCAAATCGTCACTCTCCGATTAAATTCTCGATCAGAGCTAAGTATTAAACGTACCTTTAGCATCAGAAATTTCAGTGAAGAAAGCGAACATACTAAAACTGACATTGTACTTGGAAAGATCAATCATTCTGGACCATTTTTGCGGTAGCTGTACCTCCACAGTGTACATACAGTCTGTAGCTGTGCAGCTGAAGTAGGAAAAGCTCTGAAAATGAACAAAGAATTGCCCTATTAACATTACGAAAAGTACAGAAGAGCGGATTCTCTCCTGTAAAAGGATTCTACGCTACGGTAATACAGTTGGAGAACTAAACAAGTACAAGGTCGACCCTCCATGAGGTTCATGCGGCCATTTCGTTTACACCTTCCTGTGCGGTTAGCCGCTGTACAGGTATACCAGAAGAGCGCTTGGCACGGTGGAGGGGATGGCTAAAATATTAAGTCTCCCCATCAAAGGGCTAAGGTCTAGATTTCTACTTGACCAATCCGAAAGCACGAATTGCCTTAAGGGTAATTATCGCCAAATTTGGCGTAATTCTCGACCAATCAGGGGTCGTGCATCCCAATTATCAACTGAGTATTTATACTAAATAAAAGCAGGAGCCCATGAAATTATAACTGCTTGGAATATTTTTGTTTCTAATCTTGGGTCCTCTTTTCGTCCGACGATGAAAAAGCAGACATGGGGGGGGGGAAGGGTAGGAGGACACCAAGTGAGAAAAAAAATCTGTAATTGTTTATTATCACAAGAAGGAAGGTGGGGAACATCCTGTTATTTTTGTTACAGATTCCCTCCCCCCCCCGGAAAATGCCTTCTCAGAGATAAAATTATCGCTAAAAGATTAATAAACCAATTATTCTATTTTAGCAGCAGAATGGTAAGCCTGTAGCTGATTCAAGATAATAATCAGTTTGTTCAGGAACACTAGAGTTTATAATACACCGTCTATCATTTCTTGGCTGGGGAAAGTACTATAACTTTGGCTTGACTGAGTCAATTGGTCGCACGTTAAGTAAGAAAACAAAGATAGAATATCTCAGAAGAAAACATAACTTTTCCAAAGTTGTTATGGTCTCTGATATTTCTTCCGCGCCTTTACTTATAAAGAAAATGGACAGGGAGAGACGGATCCAGAGAGCACTGCCCGCCTAGACCCATATGGATTGTGCTATTAAAAGTAGCGTACCATGCTGCACTACTTTTCTTTAAAATATGCTTTCAAAAAAGAAACAATATAAAGTCCAAATTAAATATTTATCGTTTATAAAGCTAAATATGTGCTTTTAACTTTTCAATACTGTTAGCTGCTGCACTTTATTCCAGACTAGTAACGATGACTTAACGTGTCAAATGCACGATGTAAGTATCGCGTTTCTCTGACGCCATTTTGTTGCTTGTGAAGGTAGGAACTGGGACCGAATTAGTCTTTACATCCGGTGTGCCTAGTCCTCTAGACGACGAACGCTAGACATTGCAAAACTGAAAATAGACTGAATCATAGACCGAACTTGAAAATAATCAATCTTAGTGACCAAACAAGTCATAACTCTGGTTATATTCTCTTTAAAAAAAACTAAAAATGCACTGATTATGCTAACAGTTTTAGCTCAGTTTTAGTTCAGTTTTAGACCATATATTCCTCCTGGGCATTCCCTCGATCCTCCGTTTGTTTTTTTCCTTTCATTTATTTACTTATTTTATTTCGCACACTCTATACATGTCTACTTAAATATCGCCAGGAAAACTGCCGTTAGACAAAGGCACTTTACACAAAGGAAAACATTCTAATGGCTGAGAGAACGAGGCGTTGTTAACAGCCTTTAATTTACTTCAAAGCCACCTGCAACGCTTAGGGTTTACGAGTTTCCTTTCTATTGTATACAGTTGGTTTGATTCCATAGTGAACTTTTTATCCAACAGAAAACTTCACAAATACCATTGACACTTCGTGTTGTCGTGGCAATTAAAACAATGGTAATTTTTTTCTTCACGGTGATCATTTTAAGTAAATTTTAGAGTTTCAAAAAATACCATGTAAACTTGGACCTCGAAGAATTTTTTGTCTTTTTTCTGTCGTTGAAGGTTTTTACCTGATTAGGTTTATTTTCTTCTATAATAACAAACAAAATCAAAATATTTTCGCCGTAGATGAGTGTTTGTTTGCTCTTAAATTTCGAAGAAGAACAATAAATTAAAAAAACAAAACAAAACAAAAAAGAAGAAAACAAAAGAACTAGACAATAGTACCTGTTAATGCAAAAAATCATCATACCTATTGGTGGTAAACAATGGTCACCTAAAACCAACTGCAGCCTTTCGGGCACTTATAGAAATTACGTAAAATTCAATGAAGTGAATTCACCCTTTATAGCTCGTGTATTACTAGTAATACATGTTTGATTTTTGTTTTGGGAACGTGTTTCTTATTTCCCATCTCTCGCTCTTGTTAGCGAATACTTGTTGTTCTCTTAAAGGTCATAATATATTCAATTGCCGTTTATTTTATATTTAATTTGTGCAAATATATGTTGCAACCTGTGAATTTAGAAAGTTCCGTAATCTAATCGATAAAAGAACGGCTTTTTTCTTCTCAGAGCGGAAGTCTTCACTGAAACCAAACGTTGTAATGTAATATGAAAAAAATAAATTGGAAAAGTCCAATTATTCTAGAACTTTTTAAGCTCTCACTGCAACCCTTTGTAGAAAACAAAAACCACCCTTGTGCGCTGAATTTGAGTTTTCGCAACTACAAATAAAAACGTTTTGAATAGAACTGTTTACAGCGCTAATCGAGAGATATTAAATCAGGTTATGGGACTGTTATATCAGCAAGATCTTCAGGCAGTTTGCAACAATCTTTATGTACATTTTTCACCATCTTCCTTCGTAAAAGTATTGACTTCTTGGGTCAACAATAACATATGGGGTATCGTGTGGCCCGAGTGAAAATTCATTTTCGGTTGGAAGCCCTTCTGGAGGAAGGCAGCAGCCACATCTAACAGGAGGGAGGTAAGGAAGTATTTGCATCACTTCCCTCTCGCCAGGGATGTGACTTTGCAAAAAGTGGCGCTGACTTTGAAATGGTGTTGAGTGAAACGTCATGGAATGGCAACCTCTCGACAACGGCACTCGATGTTCTCGGAAACTTAACTCATCCGTAAATCTCCGATGGTGAATCTTCTCTTGACCACCTATGTTTCTGCTTGCCTTACAGTTATCCTTGTGCAAATATGACGAGGATCTCAACTGTACATGCGAAGGGAGGTCTTCAAAATTTTCCTCTTTGCTAGGAGCGCTTTCTGGTCGCGAAGCGGGAAGACAACTTTGGTCTTCGTATTCAGTTTCTTCCTTCTTAACAGGGACTTCACCACTTTTAAAATCTTCATTTCCATTGAAATGTTCAGGATTTTCCCCCAGCTGATCGTTCTCTTGCGGCGCCGCAGAGGACTCGTGGCAAACACACGGTCCGAACGAACAGGACGCTTGGTTGAGGCTCAGGTTGTGTTTCAAGTACTTTTTCTTGGGCCGTCTCTTCGGTCTGTACTTGTAATCAGGATGTTCTATCATGTGGAGCTCGCTCAATAGTTTGGCTTGTGCGAAAAACTTTTGTTTTTCCTCCTCGGTGAGTTTTCTCCACTCCGAGCCAAGAATCTTGCTGATTTGCGAGTTATGAAGTTTAGGATTTTCACGCGCTAATTCCCGGCGTTTGCGACTGGACCATATCATGAAAGCGTTCATTGGCCGTTTTATGTGATTTTCAAGGCTGGACATCTTATGCTTCGATGGCTTCTCTCCAGGAAGATTTCTACGCTTAGTCACCTTTCTCCACCGCTGAAGTTAGAGTAAATGATACTACCTCTCACTTCACTAGCTTTTGAACGCCTCAAAAACTTCCGTGAAATTGCGTTTCACAGTGGGACATCAATTTCTTAAACAAATTCACTTCAATTAGCTTCGACGCAACATAAGCGTCCTGCCTTGCTAGTGCTAGATAGCTTCTCATAAACGACCTTGATAATACCGGTTGACAGAGTCTTGCGTCTTGCTTTTATGCTGAGACACAAAACAAAAGGCTCTTTTGTGTTTAATTAATGTTTAATGTGAGCTCAAGTGGCGAGAGCGTGTGTCACAAATTGTTCATTTCATGTCGTCTTCTTTCAGTTCTTTATACTTTCCGGCGAGAGCTTCGACGGCTTTCAATTTAAATTGACGATTCTCTTTAAATAGCTAAACTATGTGACCTGAAATAGCTTTAAAATCGTTCGTTACCTTCACCTGAAAGGTTGCATTTTCTGGCTATATTCTCTCACAAAATTCATGGTTGAATAATTAATAAAGCCTACTTTCGAAACAATAGCGCTCATTTATGCGGTCGCGGTGAAAGTTTTCTTTAGATCCCTGCATAAAACAAATGAAGTTGTTGTTATGGATGAACACGGGCCATTATTTTGCGTTTTTGATTCAACCATTAATTTTTGCTTCCACTTCGGTATGAATTGTTTTTATTTGCAATATCAAAATAAACAGAAGTCAGATTTTTTATAATTTTTTAAACAACAAGCATGCATTCGACAGGTCTGCTTTACAACAACAATAGAACTCATCAAAGGCAAGGATGTTTCGGTTTGATAAATTATTCATGTTGTGCGTTTAGTTCATGGCCGTGTTTCTTAGAAAGACAAACTTTTACATGACAATGGAAGATAAAGGAGTCTAAAACCATTGAAAAGAAAAGAGACTTAAAAACAGGTCGTGGTTTTAAGACACGAGAGGTTTTCTGTTCGTCTCCCACAAATTCCTATAAGATGGTTGGTCATCGGTGTATTGCATTAAGCGTTTATCTCCAGAAGTTTGGTCTTGTTTGCCAAACGCTCCGCATAAACAAATTTTCTGACAAGCAGGTGTTGCAGTCGGTGAAGGCTTGTAAAACAGTTTCTTTAATTTGCAGTAATTAACTATAAAGACTATCTGAGAAGTTGTTGATGCCTGACATTAACTTGCACAATCTTTGTGAGCAGTAGACGTTCAACACACCCGCAATGTTTGCACGGAAATATAAAATTAAAACTTTTCGACAACGTTGTTTGTTTATTTGACACGATGTTGTGTTATTTGACTCAGCAAAGTATATTTGGAGCCAGGAGAAAATTCATTTCATCGAATGATATTTGTAATGCTACATCACAGATGAAACATGAAAATATCGGAATCGTAACCAACTCTGCTTTGGAGCCGGAATTGTTCACCAGACAAGATTGTCCGATGTTCTTACAAAATGATCAATTCTTGCTTTTATGGTCAAAATTGTGATAAAAAATTAACCATTCAAATAACAGTTATTGAGCGGTTCTTTCACGTGATGTTCTGTATTATATTGAAAAAGTTGGGTCACACTTTCAATCCTAAGAATGAAATTTTGTAAGTGTCACCATTGAAACGAAAGGTATTAACTAACATACATGGCGCGCCTCTGTTTTCAATTATTTCAATTTCCAAGTGTGAAATTTAAGAAGATTTGTCAAATGTATATTCTATAGCTCTTTAGGTGGCAAAGCCTGCTAATTATGAAAAAATAAAGAGAGCAAAATCTAGAGTAAAAAATTCAATAAAAGCCTGAGTTAAAATAACAAATGTTTTAAGGTATTAAGCGAAGGATACAATATACTCGGCAAAATGTTTTAAATCTGCAATTTTTCCTAGTTTTCAAATGAGAATCTAAGAAAATCATTGTTAAAGTTTGTATTCTATGGCTCTCCGGGTGGTAAACGCATATTATAGCAGTTAAAGGTTTTATGTCAAAAGTTAAATAAATATCTAACTTATTAAATCGTAAACAAGCTAAGAAGATTTCATAATTTGCTGTGGAGTCTGAAAACCAGTCAAATTTACAGAAACTTGTCAACAAAACGTTGACTGGTCTTTCCATTAAATGAAAAGCCCTTTATTTCTTCGCTTCATTCAGAAACTTCACACACATCTTTATAAAAGCGCTTTTCAAAAGCTCTTTCTCTATTCAGTTGGACACCAGAAGGTAAATAAAAGAAAAAGGACTTGATGCGCAATAATTGATTGAGGGTTTTTGTTACGAAATAAATGGCTATTTTAGAACCGTCGTTTGAAATGTTAATTTCGATACATTGTTGCCAAACGGCGGGTGTACGATGAAATTATCAGCTCCCTAGTTCACGCCGAACTTCATCAGCCAAAAATAAGCTGGTTAAGACATAAAATGAAAAGGGAAGACGCAATACTCAGTGAAAGATTGACAAATGTAACAAAGATTCCTGGAGATTTTTGCACCATGAGTGCAAACCGGAGCACAATAATGAACATGTGTACGATGTCCGGCTTTGTAATCAGAGTCAGCTTAACCATATGCTGCCTCATAATCAGCGAGATAATTTTTTTCTTTTTAACTTTGGTCTTTCAAAGGAGCAAAACACACTCATGCAACATATGATTAAGGTTTTGTCTTTTTCAATGGCTCACAATTTCTAAAGTCATAAATAGTATCTATAGAAAGAGTTGTTTTTTTTTTTACTCCTTTATCTCCCATAAATCATAAACAAGTAACTTGATTTCCTAAGCAAGTGATCGTAGTAAAAAAACTTTACCATTACATGTTCGTAAGTCTCTTTTATTCCTTCTGGAACGAGAGAAAGAGAGAGAAAGAGCGTCAAGAAGACATACCCTGGGAACGAAGTTGGTGCTGCCGTGATGTAACACCAAATTCTCCTACATCATATTCGAGGAAAATGTGTAACATTTGGAAGGGAGAATTGTTTTTATCAGTCAGATCATAAGAAAGGTTTTGTAAGTAGGTAATATCTGGAATAAAAAGTAGGCACGGTAACTTGGTTAAAAAAGGGAAAAAAACAAAAGAAGCGCAAACAATTTGGTCGAAAAATACATGGATTCATGACCAAATCATTTACTCTAAAAGACGTTCTGGAATTAACCCATGAGTGACCAAGACAGAATTTCTCCTTACAATATTAATACAATATCAACCAGACAGGTGATGACAATAAAGAAAAAATGTCAATTTAGGGTTGATCAGTTGATCCAATATTAGATTCTCTGAACTAACATTGTAAGAATTGTGTGGTTGACAGAAAGGAGAATTATTACAAATTTGATCTTTATATCATACATCATAGGCCGCTGACATTCATTAGGCTGTTATTCGCAGGCTGTCTTGACGGAAATATGACTTTTCGTGGCAAATAAGGTTTTAAAATGAAATCTATTCTAAAAGGGGTTGACACTCGGAAATTAAAGGCTTGTCCCCAAGACTACAATCCTCTTGGGTTGTATGGTTGCGATTGCTACAATTATTATATTCGAGTTTGCGCAAAAAGTCATTGCCTATGTTGTTTTGCAATTTTTTTTTTATCAACCAATCAGATGCTAACTGATAATAATAATAATAATAATAATAATAATAATAAAGATAATAAGTATAAGGACTTTATTAACTGGATATAACACTAAACAGTTTCAAATTTATAAACTTGCGGCCGTCAAATTCAAACAAACTAGAACTGGTCAACATTGCGTTTAACATAAACAGAGTATTTTAAGAACCCCAACTGGTAGGAAGCAGCCTGGTTGGCTTTGAACTATAAACGTCACTAAGGTGTTGAATTCTGGGTGACCAAAAAAAAGTCCAATGGGTGGCAGGGTGAAGGGCTTTGAACCCAGACCTCCAGATGACAAGAACTTTTAGGATTGGTAAATTTCCTCGGAAAAAGCTTACTCCATTCGCGCTCGTTGGATATGTCATGGCAAATAGCTTAAGCATAATACCTGGTCAAAGCATGTAGCATAATACAGGCATAATGAGTAAACTTCTTAAAAATTCCTTTGATGTTACACCTTAACAAGAAATAAACTTTGTAGCCGGGGCGATGTCAAAAACGACCGGAAGTAAATGCAACTTTTGATTGCAAAACGACAAATAATCACGTGACTTGCGCAGCGTTTCACAAATAAAGCTGAATGAGAGTCTTGCACAAAGCAACTCAGAAACCCGAAATATTTCCACCGAATACCTTAGTTTCAAATCCAAGAAACGTAAATGGGTATGAGGGACAGACTTTTTCGAGGATGCCTACAAGTGCTTTTGAGTTCCAACGCATTGACAAGTACAATAGTTATACAAATTTTAGAAGCGTCTTGCTGTCTGAAGCGGAGTTAGTGACGTAGGCAATGTCATCTTTCATTTTGATATGCTGAAACTGTTCTAGAGGATTTACAGGTAAAACAATTAATGCGATCCAGTATCACGATTAAGTTTTGACTTAAAAATTAAGCTCGAGTTATTCAATGACGTTTTGAACACCTACCAGGTCATGATTTGCTGTGTAAAGATGAACGAAGGAAAACCCATTGTGGTCGTTTGTGCGAACTTCTGAAAGAACTTTTGCAAGAACAAAAATTTCTGAAGAAATTTCAAGATAGGCAGCAACATCTTCCAAGAAATTTCTTCGGTAAGTTTACGAACCTCGCTCCGCCGGGACTTGCAAGTCAACACGAAATGTTGAAAGGTGAACAGCTCGGGTTTGATTGCTGTTTATTCTTTATCATAAAACCTGTATTTTTTCGGGGAAAACTTTGCAGCTTTTACTATTGTGACTGAGATTACATTGGATAATATTTCTTTTCTTCTAATCTATGTTTTCTCATTGCCATGAAGAACCGTTAAGTGTTCGCTTCCCGCCGAAAAATCTCAGTTTGTGACGCCGGGCGCAATTATTTTCCATATGAGG